GTGTGTGTGTGTGTGAGTGTGTGTGTGTGTGTGTAAGTGTGTGTGTGTGTGTGTGTGTGTGAGAATGTGTACTCACTGTGCTGGGCTTCATACTGTGCTCCGTGATGCTGTAGTTGTTGGCTGCGCCGGTAGCAGCTCTCTCCGATCTTCAGCGCCTGTTTGAAGAGTTTCTCTGCCTCCACGATCGTCGTGGCTTCTTCCTCAGCCAGGAGAATATACGCCGTCGCACAACTACAACACACACAACAGATTCAACACTAAACATTCTTGACCATTAAACACACACATTTACACTGACAGCACAGGACAACAACGAAACGTGCTGAGAGAACATTACTACAGCACGTACATATTTCACAAGCCACAGGAAATATCTGATGGAGTAATGTGGGCAGATTCATCTATCAGTGAATGAGTGAGCTCACGTCTGTCAGCACAGAAACACACTCACTCCTCCAGATCCAGAGCTTCATGAGCGGCTGTGATCCGAGCCTGAGGATTCCTCTCTCTCCAGGCCTTCTGCATTACTGTCAGAACACACACACACACACACACTCTTAGCCACAGGTCCTCCAGACACTGACAGTGCGCTGAATGCTCTGGATGTTGATGGTAATGCTGCTCTTACTGGCGTCTGCAGGCCGCAGGTGATCAGAATCACACGTGAAGAAGGTCTGATGATCTTGTGCCGACAGATTCATGTCGTAGTATGTGAGCGGCTCTCTTCCCGTCACCCACGTGTATCTGCAGCAAACACATTCACATCAGCATCTCAATGCAGCTCACAATTCTCATCAAAACAAGAAAGAAATCAGCCCCGATTCGAACACAGCATTTACTAGACAGGTAAAGATTCAGGCTTGCTTTTGCATCAAATGAAGCACTGAAGAGGCTCAGAGACGTTCACTCACCGGTTATATTCAGCTCCTCTGAATAGATTGAGAGGATTTCGCCAAACCTTACACTCTAAACACACACACACACGAAACATTAGCAAATACACGCTGACTGTGTTTGAGTTCACCTAGTAAGTGATTGATGAGCAGCTAACCACAGTGTGTTAATGTCAGACTGGAGTTCTTCTGAGGAGCAGGTTCATGTGTTTCTTAGAAAGTTTTCTCATGTTTATTCAGTAACGCGGGCTGACCTGACACACTCTGCCGGCTGGAGTCGGCGTCTCCGTTACTGCTGCTGCTGCTGGAGCTGTTGGGCGAGCTGTTATCAACTCCACCTAACAGAGGACGCAGATGACTGACAGACACCTGCTCGATGAAGGACGTCCCATACTTCCTGAAGTACCACCACTCGAAGATCTGCAGCACAGAGACACACGCCCTTCATCATCATCACAGGTATAAAGGTCTGTCTGAACAATAATAATACGTTCAGCTGCTTCTTTCAATAACTAATTCAATTTCTTTAATGATTCTAACTTGATTAATACAAATTAATAAAACCCACAGAGCTGCTTTTATTGACAGAATCAATTTGGTTATTAAATTGCAAGGAAAAGATTAAACTAAATTAATACGGAGCCACAAATCAACCTCTAGAGACTCATTCAGATCCTTTACATTCCAGTGAAGTCACTTCATTCTGCAGCCCACATAAAAAAAAATCCTATAGTAATTTATAGTAAATACTATAGTGTTTTTGAACCATACTATAGTAAAATGTATTATACTGTATATATTATCATATTTACAACACTTTGTTAATGAATGCTACAGCATACTGTAGTATTAAATATAGTGAACTGATAATAAATACTAGGGCTGCGTAAAAAAAAA